GCTCCGGTCACCCCTAGATCGTCTGCACCCTACTTACACTCCAGAGAAACCCCCGGGATCGAGTAGCCGATACCGCGCCTTCAATGTAGGAGACACTGTCTTCGCCAAAAACTTTACTGGGGACCCACTATGGCTTCTTGCAAAAATCATCCAAATCACCGGCCCTCGTTTCTACCGACTCGAGACCACCGACGGGCGGAGTTGGAAACAGCATATTGACCAGCTAAGGTCCAGGCTGGCCACCCTTCCCCTCGCAGACTCTAACCAAGGAATCGGGGGGGGGGGGAGAACCTCAAACTTAGAAAAAGAACTGGTACCCGCGCAAGCAGAACACCCCCCACACACATTAAAAAAAAATCAAACATTAAACCGGCAATACTTACCTGCAAACAGGGAACCGTGGCAGACGGGTACTTCGCCTGGAAGCAGCAGCTGGACAAACTGAACCAGTCCAGAGAATCCAGGCAGGAGCAACAGAGCAAACGACTCGACCGACCTGGATACACCAGGCAGGAGTCGCAGCTTTAGGCCCGGCTCACCCTTCCAGGCGGTTCCATCGAGATGCTTGAGAGCGACGCGGAGCCCGTCCGAACCTGACGATGACCAGAGACATTATGAACCACGCAAGTCAAGTAGGCAGGTCCGTAGACCCGCCTACTTACATGACTACGTCACCCCGCCCCTTGGATGGAACCAAGAGGGGAGGGGTGTTCCATATTAGCCGGCTTGAAGACCTGCATTCCTATTGGTCCAGAAAAGCCGGACCATGATTGGACGTCTTAAACACCCCTGATTGGCTCGTATAGGGTTTGCTGCGATTGGCTAAAACCAAGTGCGGCAAACTCAAAGAACTGTCATTGGCTGCCTAGCCGCGGCCAGCTCTATAAGAAGAGCTGCCGCGCGCTAGGGTTTTCATCTCAGAATTCTTCCTGTTAAATAAAGAGCTGTTTGTTCACTACTCAAGCCTCATTCTTATGGGACCCACCAACCATACTTAACATCTGGAATGATGAATACAACCGCTTTCATGCTTTCTCTATGAGTATGGCAGTTTGCTTGGAAGAAAATGGGGTCTTCTTCCTGTGTGTGGGGAATGTGTGTGTATTCTTGCAACTGGACTGGGATGTGTACTTTGGTATATCTCTTCCCAAAGATGGGTGTTGTTGCTGGGGAACAGGCCCTCCCAGTCCCTCTCACAGGCCATGTGCAGAAGAGTGCCCATAGTGATCCCACTGTTAGTGATCTTGGGGATAGGTACAGCAGTTGGGACTGGGGTGGGTGGCCTAGCTCATTCTACAGTCAGTTTAAGCAGCTGTCAGAGGAGCTCCAACATAGTCTAGGTCAGTTCACCTGGACTTTAGTCGAACTGCAAGACCAGATAGACTCCTTGGCAGCAGTAGTCCTGCAAAATCGACGGGGCCTGGGCCTGTTTTTAGGAGAAGAATGCTGTTTCTATATTAATAAATCAGGTGTGGTCAGAGAAGCTGCAAAGGACCTGCAAGACAGAGCATCCCAGATTGGACAGAGATTATTGGGGACAGACCAGTGGTTTTCATGGTGGCCAGGAACAGCCTGGGTCAAACAGCTGTTGCTCCTGTTGTGTGTACTAGCAGGACAAGCCTTCATCCCCTGTGTGATACCTCTACTCAGGCAACTGGTTATGAGGTCAATAAAGTAAATAAGGATTGAAAAAGAGTTGATTGTCTTAGGATGACCTTTGGGAAGTAGAGGGGAATTGTAAGAAATAAGTAAATTCAAATATAAAATAGTATATAAGTTGGTTAAAGGTTTCACAAATGGGAGTTGGACTAGATGACCTGTAGAGTCCTTTCCCTCTCTGTTAAACTGTTATCAAATGAAATATATCTCCCTGTAACTACATGTTTTGCTTTTATAATTTTGACATGCTCCATTAAGCCTTTTTATATTTTATCTTATGGATATGCCTATTATTATTATTGTTGTTGTTGTTGTTGTTGTTGTGACACAACATTTAGCTATGTAGGGGGCTGAGATCCAAATAACCAATCAATGTTATCTGTTATGCATGCATTATTAGGGGAAGGGCAAAGGTTGTATGCGACCACCCCTTGACTATAAAAATTGCTGTAAGATTGTAATCGGGGCCCTTGGTTAGATTTTGAGCCAGGATCCTTATATCTTGGTACCAAAATAAAAGCATAATTTTGTACCACACCTTGTGTCGGGTGACTTATCGGCTTCGACACCAAGCAAAAGCCCAGTTTTGGTGTCAACAAGGCTGCAAAAGGTGACCATGTGATCCGGGATGCTGCAACCACCATAAATATGAGTTGGTTGCCAAGCATCTGAATTTTGGTAACATACTGCAACAACCGTAAGCATGAAAAACGATCCTAGGTCACTTTTTTCAGTGCTGTTGTAACTTCAAACGGTCACTAAATGAATGGTTGTAAGTCACGTACTACCTCTACCCTAAATCGAAACATCAGTTAAGAGTTAACTATTTTTATGTGCTTTTCCTTCCAGAGCCTAGGGAGAGAATACAGGTAGTCATTGAGTTGCAACAGTTCATTTAGTGACTGCTCAAAGTTACAACGGCACTGAAAAAAGGGACTTAATGACTGTTTTTCACATGACCATTGGTCACATGGTCAAAGTTGAGAAACTTGGCAACTGACTTGTATTTATGACGGTTGCAGTGTCCCAGGGTCCTGTGATCCCCTTTTGTGACCTTCAGACAAGCAGGGGTCCCCAAATTTGGCAACTTTAAGACTTGTGAACTTCAACTCCCAGAATTCTCCAGCCAGATTGACTGGAGAATTCTGGGAGTTGAAGTCCACAAGTCTTAAAGTTGCCAAGTTTGGGGACCTCTGAGTAAAGTCAATGGGGAAGCCAGATTCACTTAACGACTGTGTTACTCACTTAATGACTGCAGTGACTCACTTAACAACTGTGGCAAGGTCGTCAAATGGGGCAAAACTCCTTTGACAATTGTCTCAGCAACAGAAATGTTGGGCTCAGTTGTGAGGTAGCCCCAGGCCGTGAATGGCCTTTGACCCGAGCTACAAATTAAAAGCATCTCCATGCATGGGTACAATACTTCCGAGATCACTTTGTGATATCATTGATATATCACAAACTGATATTTTTTTTGTAACTTATTTATGTCGGGAAGGTGGGTTGACTGGCAGCGAGCAGGGAATTATAGAATTGCTTTCAGTTTTAAATTTATTCGTAGATTTTATGTCCAAATGGGAAGACAGTCCTTCACCTTTAAAGATGGGTCAATGGAGGCTGAGAAAAATTTGGCTTAGGGCAACTAGCCGAATGCCAACATTGCAAGTTAAATAGAAAATAAAAACGTTGGACGACCCTGACTTTTCAGTTGTGAATGCAGTACACCGTTTAAAAAAAAAGGCATTCTGACCCTCTCAAAAAGTTTTAGACCATGTGTTCTGCTTTATTATCTCAAAGAAGTGAGGGCTTTGCCCTAGGCGCATGCGTAGTTTTCTCCTGATGAATGTTTCCTGAGATCACGTGTCTGTTTGGCAATAGCGAAGGGGACCGCCCCACACAGAACAGCCTGAGGCGGGCCAAAAGAAAGCAGAAAAGGTCGCGTGACCCACAAAACCTTTTTGCGCCATTCGCAGTCACGTGGTAGGCGCACGAGCCTGAACCTGGTAAGGCGCGGGAGCCAGTTGAAAGCCCAACCGCCTGGGCATGCACGGTCTTTTCAGTTCATTGCTCTCTGGTGGAAAAAACGCACGGGAGCAGTAAAACTGATCTGCACTATTTAATATCTATCTCAACCTGAGGAAAGGAAAAAGAAGCCTTACCCTTTAAGGAATAGGCAAAGTTCTTTCCTTTTGTGGATTCAAATTTTCCCGCTGGGAAGTTTTAATGCAAAATGATTTGGTCAGCTGCGTTGAAAGTCAGTATCAGTTTATTAATAGGAAGGCAGATAGCAAGAAATCTCACAGCGTTCCTAGGATTAATCTAATAAGTGAGTAGGAAAACCTCTCTCTTATACATTTCAGGTTCTTTGATTTGTAAATGAAGTCTTTGATTTGTGTGTGTTGAACTCCTGTCTCTTTGAGATTGGGATCTCTTCCTGGGATCTTGGTGGGAGTAATTGTTTTATAGTCCAATCTGTTTTTCCCTGATCCTTTGTAGCTATCAGTTTGCACCTGGTTGCAATATCCTGAGCTTCCTGTTATGCTGTTTGCTTTTTACATGTTTTTTTGTAGCTTGCTATTTATTTGATTTCTATGGGAAAGGATCCTAGCTAGTTTGTAGGGTTTTTTTCTCTGTATCTCATGCCTGTAATTTTCTCCTTCCTTTGTTGTGAAAAGTAAGCTGGCTCCAGCTATTTTAATAGCCCTACTTGAGAAAGGGTGGGGGCTGATGGAGCTGATCCTGCTTGTGTTTTCTCCTTTTCCTTTCTTTCCTTCCCCTTCTGTTTTCCTAGAAGAGAGGGGAATCATAACTTCCAACAAACCCTAACTCTAATATCTATATAATCTATATATCTACCTATATCTATCTAATGTAATATATCATACGTATTTGTTTTTATACATGTGTGTATATTGTGTATATTAAAAAAAAAATCCATTATTTGTATTACTTCTCCCACAGTATATATATTATTCCTCAAGGACATGACGGCTCCCAAACAAGGGGGGGCGGGGGACGCTGCTTGAAGGCCTTGCTTGATAATAAATAAAAGTAAAATAATAAAATAAAATAAAAAATAAACAAATCTGATTAGCAACCAAAGATAAATAAAGAGGAGAGGTGGAAAGAGGTGCGAAAATGTACAGGGCATTTCTATTTTACTTGCGGTTCAGCTTGACCCGCATCAAGCTGCACCGCAAGCCATGCTGTAAGTCTCGCGAGAAGAGAGCGCGCGTGAGGGAAAGGGGCAGGAAAGACTTTCCACTTCCGGGGTCACCTTGGCGAGAGAGGTCGCAGCAGCACGGGCAAGCAGGCGGGGAGGTGGTGAGGGAGCCATTCTGATGGCACTGAGTCTGGACCGTGAGGCATACTACCACCACGTCACGCGCCTCTACAGTAACTGGCAGGTCAGGCCTCGGGTGCGCGAGAGGGCCGGGGGTGGGCCAGCCCGCCGGGAGAGCGGACACGGTGGGTCCCTTCCTCCAACCTTAAACCGGCCGGCCGCCATTCTTAAACTCTCGGCTGGGGGGGGGGAGTTGACCATTAGAGCATCTGTTAGGAATCTGTCCACCAATTAGTTGGGTTGGCAATATACACTGCTCAAAAAGATAAAGGGAACACTTAAACAACACAATGTAACTCCAAGTCAATCACACTTCTGTGAAATCAAACTGTCCACTTAGGTAGCAACACTGATTGACAATCAATTTCACATCCTGTTGTGCAAATGGAATAGACAACAGGTGGAAAGCAGAGGCAGTTAGCAAGACATCCCCAATAAAGGAGTGGTTCTGCAGGTGGTGACCACAGACCTCTTCTCAGTTCCTATGCTTTCTGGCTGATGGTTTGGTCACTTTTGAATGCTGGCGGTGCTTTCACTCTAGTGGTAGCATGAGACGGAGTCTACAACCCACACAAGCGGCTCAGGTAGTGCAGCTCATCCAGGATGGTGCATCAATGAGAGCTGTGGCAAGAAGGTTGCTGTGTGTGTCAGCGTAGTGTCCAGAGCATGGAGACGCTACCAGGAGACAGGCCAGTACATCAGGAGACGTGGAGGAGGTCATAGGAGGGCAACAACCCAGCATCAGGACCGCTACCTCCGCCTTTGTGCAAGGAGGGACAGGAGGAGCACTGCCAGAGTCCTGCAAAATGACCTCCAGCGGGCCACAAATGTGCATGTGGCTACTCAAATGGTCGGAAACAGACTCAATGAGGGTGATATGAGGGCCCGATGTCCACAGGTGGGGGTTGTGCTTACAGCCCAACACTGTGCAGGACGTTTGGCATTTGCCAGAGAACACCAAGATTGGCAAATTCGCCACTGGTGCCCTGTTCTCTTCACAGATGAAAGCAGGTTCACACTAAGCACATGTGACAGACGTGACAGGGTCTGGCGACGCCGTGGAAAACGTTCTGCTGCCTGCAACATCCGCCAGCATGACCGTTTTGGCAGTGGGTCAGTAATGGTGTGGGGTGACATTTCTTTTTTTTTTTTTTGTAAATTTTATTTGAGTTTTCACAGAGAAAAAAAATACAAATAAAACATCTTTTTTGAAAGTAGCGTAATCCTGGGTTACATTTCTTCGTACAGACACAAATTCAGGTTCATGCTCATTTTTATATTCTATTCCATATCTTATTACTATTTTACATTTTCTGCATAGCTTCTCCCCTCTTTTAATTTTCTCAATTTTATTTTAATTATTTCATCTCAGTTCAAATCATTGTATTTATATTTTTTGTCTGTCCTGTTTCAATTATCTATTATCTTTTCTCATTAAACAAAATTTCTCCTGTAGTTACTGATTGGAGTACGACACCTTTATATCTTTTCCCTAAAGTTGTAACATTCAATATAATACATAACTTCCATTTGGATTCTGCTTGGTACTTTCTTAAAATACATACTGTATTCTTAAAAAAAGAAAAAATTATAAATGTATAATATAATTAAAACAACATTCCATTCCAATTCAATTCTATTATTAATATTAATATTCATTAAAGTCTTAACATCTTTAACATTACTTTTCAATTAAATATCATACTTCTATGGGAACAATTATAAGCTTTCCGTAGTTAATTTCCCCCCCCTCTTCACTTATATTTTATAACACATTAACTAATTAAAATGTTCCTGTTCCTTCCTAATTCAATTTTCTCATTTTATTTCACTTATTTTGTTCACAAACATTTCACTAAATTACACTATTTTATCCCTCATTTAAATCATAGGTTGTTTCTAATTTTCTAAAGTTATTTCTATTACTAATATAACAATACAATCTTATGTACCTTTACAGAATCCCTTTTTCAGTTAGATTTTCACCCATTATCTCTAAATAGGTCCTGTTTCTCTATATCTTGCTCCAGTCCTTTGTAACTTCTTTTCCTTTCCTTCTTCCCTCTCTTCTTCTCTCTCCCCTTTTTACCCCCTTGTCTCTCTACCTCTATTTCTCTCTTCTGTATTCCCCTTTTCTGTTGCTTTCCAGTATTATACTTATTTTTTGAATTATTTTTCTTTTCTTTGGTTGTTTTTTTTAAGTCTTAAATTCTCCATTCTCTTCCCCCCTTTCCTTTTTCTTCCCCACATAAAATTGCTTGTTCATTAAAGATGGCTTCTTCTTTGTCCCAGTCTTCTTGTTTTGCAGTCTTTTCTTGTTGTTTCTCATAGTTCCAAATCTCCATTTCTAAGAATTGAAAAACGAAGCCAAAAGAACCCTTCCCTTCTTGTGCATCTTCTTTGTACTTTTTAAGTTCCATTTTCAATTCATCCAGAAGTGGTGCCATTGTATAAATTTTTAAACAACCACCCAATTGATTTTAGTCATTCAAATATAATAACCAAGAATCCAAAGATCACCAAATAATCCAAATACACGCAAGATGTTTCTTTTTTGCTCTTTTTTTCACTTTCTCTTCCTGGGGTTACTATTTAGTTGCAAAGTTTCAGTTAAAATGTATCTTTTAGAAGTCTTGTTGAAGTTTTACTGTAGATTCTTTTTAATTCCAGGCAGTCTCCTCCCTCTTCCAGATCCTGCCCTTATTCTTTTTCTCTCCCTTCCTGCTTATGAAAAAGAAAATTTTTAATGTCCAGAAATCTTTATTATCCCTTTGGCATTTTGTTTTATTTTCAGCTTAATTGCCTATTGATGTCAAAGCGGATTTTTCTGATTTCTTATTTAAGTCTCTTAGTTGTCAGTATAGGGAAGGAGAGAGAAGAAAAAAAAAGCCAAACCTTTCCCTTTTCACTTTCCTTCGCTGCTTCCAACTCTTCTTTGGGAGCGATGTTATTTTTTGTAAGTTTAAATTCCAGGGTACCTTAGTTGTTGCTTTTACAATTTAACCCGGTCAGCCAAAACTTTCACTTCTTATCTTCCTCCTGCACATTCTTTTCCAGTCGAGTTCTCCTTTGTGGTGGCCATTTCTGACCACTGCTGCAACCGCCTTTGGGAAAGGGAGTAATGGCCAGCTGAGGAGGAGAGATGCGGCTCTCCTCAACCCTGCTGGCGGTCTCCCCCCTCTTCACCACCTCTATGGGGTGGCTTAGCCCCAAAACCAGCTGGCTTGGGGCGCTCCAGCGGCGAGCCCAGACAGAAACTGCGCATGATCACGGATTTCTGTCTGTCGCCGAAGCCCTTCAAACCAGAAGTCCTGGGGTGGCATTTCTTTTGGGGGCCACACAGCCCTTCATGTGCTCGCCAGAGGTAGCCTGACTGCCATTAGGCACTGAGATGAGATCCTCAGACCCCTTGTGAGACCATATGCTGGTGCTCCTGGGTTCCTCCTGATGCACACCAATGCTAGACCTCATGTGGCTGGAGTGTGTCAGCAGTTCCTGCAAGATGAAGGCATTGATGCTATGGACTGGCCTGCCCGTTCCCCAGACCTGAATCCAATTGAGCACATCTGGGACATCATGTCTCTCTCCATCCACCAGCGCCACATTGAACCACAGACTGTCCAGGAGTTGGGGGATGCTTTAGTCCAAGTGTGGGAGGAGATCCCTCAGGAGACCATCTGCCACCTTATCAGGAGCATGCCCAGGTGTTGTAGGGAGGTCATACAGGCACGTGGAGGCCACACACTATTAAGCCTCATTTTGACTTGTTTTAAGGACATTACATCAAAGTTGGATCAGCCTGCAGTGTTTCTTTCCACTTTAATTTTGAGTGTAACTCCAAATCCACACCTCCAATGGTTGCTAAATTTGATTTCCATTGATATTTTTTGTGTGATTTTGTTGTCAGCACATTCAACTATGTAATGAACAAAGTATTTAATAAGAATATTTCATTCATTCAGATCTAGGATGTCTTATTTTTGTGTTCCCTTTATTTTTTTGAGCAGTGTATAAGCCAACAATGTATGTTTGTAGCTTTAAGACAAAGTCACTGTATTGATTTGTACTATGTTCCGATTGGTTGATTGTATTGCGAATTGCCATAAGAGGGAGCTAGAGATCATAGCTTGCTCTCTCTGACATTCTGTGTCTCTGACATTCTGTTGCTGTGTAAGCTGTGCTTATACTTTGATATCTTTGTTTACTGTAAAAGACAAAGGCAACCGGTAAGAAGACTTTGTAATTGGACATTTTTTGGACTGAAAAACGTATATGACCTGGACTGTTTATTGGACTGTGCTATTTCTTAAAGTAAACTTTAACTCAATTTAGTGTATCTGTGTGTGGCTGAATAATTATTCATAACTACTCTCATAAACATTTCCATGTGCATATCCTTGTTACTCAAGGTTTATTCTGTACATATCATAACAGCATCCTCCCGATCCTCCCCTTGGGAGGCCCGACTGACTTCCAAAGGTCCCATCGCCTCACTGGGGGTTAGTTTGAAGTGGGAACCAGTGACCTCGAAGCCCAAAGCGGTAATAAACATGATTACACCAGGTTGGAGGTCAGGCCTTGGCTCCAACAAGGCCTTGCTCGTTGTAGGAAGTCGCCTTCCAGCCTGCCTTAACTGAACTTCCCCCTTGGAGCCATCCAGCACAGATCCAGCAATTCGGCATACAGGTGGTCCTCAACTTATGACCACAATAGAGCCCAACATTGCCATTGCTAAGCAAGACAGTGGCAAAAGGAGCTTTGGACTGCCTTCCTTGCCAGGGCAGTTTGAGTGGATCACTGCCATTGTTAAAGTTAGTGACATAGTTGTTAAGTGAATCCGGGCTTTTCCCCCATTGACTTTTGTTAAGTGAATCACCACCGTTGGTAAATTATAAACTTGGTTGTTGAGTGAATCTGGCTCCCCCATGGACTTTGCTCGTTGGAAGGTCGCAAAAGGAGACCGCATGACCCCGGGACCCTGGAATTGTCATAAATATGAGTCAGTTGCCAAGTGTCTCAATTTTTGATCATGTGACTGTGGGGATGCTACAAAAGTTGTAACTG